AAGTTTTCTTACACATAATCTGATCTTTGAAGAGAGAAAATAAATCTTATACAAGAATTCTCAAAACGCTGAATTCGTGTTGTCGTATCAGCATCCAGACATGGTCCATAGAGTACATCAGCATAATTAAAATGACTTAAGACAAAAGATTTACACAGTTGTTTTGGTAGACGAGAATTCAAAAAGATTTACTGTAGTAGAGGTTTCTGAAAGACATGTAACATTTCTGCAATACGGTTTTAAGGTGTAGTTTAGTATCAGTCACCAGTCCTAAGTTTTTGACAGTATTCAAAATGTTGATAGTGTATCCCTATTATTCCCAAAGACTATTGCTTGTTTTTGTAGAGTTAAATTTTAATCCATGCTTACATGAAAAGTCTTAGACATTGCTAAGGTTGTATTCATATTTAGACAAGCCTGATCGACTTCATATGTTTTAAAGGTTTTATATATTTGTGCGTCAGCAGCAAATTGATGTATTTCGCAATTATTTACTTGCTTGGCCATATTCGCTGTATACAATACAAACAGTAATAGTCCAAGAATTGAACTCTGCGGTACTCCCTTTGTGATCAGTCGAGAACTTCCCATTTTATAGTCCACAAACACATAATATAGAACACCGATTTGAAAGATATGAATTGATCATGCCAATAGTATGAACAGCAAAACCGTAGTAGTATAGTTTCGACAGCAATAGCTATCTTTCCAGAGCTGAAATTCAGCAATATCAACGTTGCCATATCTCCTTTATCCATAGCAACAACTATATCATTAAATACTTTAGTCAAGGCAGTAACGGTGCTATATCCTTTACGAAATCCAGATTGACGCTCTGAAATCAAGCTATTTACCGTATTTAGCTATTTAACTTGTATCTGTCTTTATCGGTCATGGGCTACTTTAGAAACATTTTTTTGTGGATAACTTTTTATATGCATAAAATAAGGACGACTTAGATGTTAAATTGACTTTTACGTACACATATTTAAATTAGTTTATATTTAAAGTTGAAGGTGGTAGCCATGTGTGAGTTATAAGTTCAAAAAGGTAAATCAAACGAGGGTGGTCCTTAGGATCTCACAAGAGATCCTAAGGACCACCCTCGTTTGATTTACCTTTTTGAGTTTATATTTTGTAACTTCTTATTTTGATAGTTCATGATTTGACGAAAAAAGGTCTTACTGAAACTTAATTGCTTGATCTTCTAGAACCTACAGATATTTTATCGATCAATGATGAATCTGAGGTAAAAGTGATCGAGATCCAAAGTAATGTTAGCGATAAAACAAAAATTGAAGTCAGCAGCAATGACAACAATATATAAAGGATAAATAAATTATTTTAACCAGTTTAAATCGATTTTAATTTTGAATAAAAATTTTTTCCGCCGCTTCTAATAATATATTTTTTTAGAGGGTCGACTGACCCCTCAATGTGGAGTATGTTCCGAAAGATACGTATGCACCTCGAAGGTTAATATACAGGGTGATTTCTAAGTTGATACTTCTTTTTTAATTGTGTATAGAAGTCATTAAATTAAGCAACCTAGCGGGTTTTTACTCGTATCCCGATCAATTTTAGCCATTTTTTACAGTAGAAACACCTTATGTTTATCCCATAGGTTCGGTAGAATTGCTAAACTATCTTACCGTATCTTGAATCTTATACCAATAGAGTTTAAAAAATTAAGTCATGTAACTTTTAAAAATAAGTTGAAATTTTTGTTACTTCGGGGACAGCTTTTGATCGATTTTAAAATATAAATATTAAATTGTGATTATTTGATTGATCTTTGTATATTTTTATATTTATTGCTTGAAGCAACGTTCACTAATTTTCATTGAGCTTCGTCTACTAGACTAGGTAGGTATTTATGATGTCTTTGTTTGTTATTAATTACAATTTTCATTTTTTTTTATGTGTATCCATTATGTATTTATATATGTACTACATTTAAGGGGTGTTTATATTTAAACTATTAATTTTGACCGGGCGTATTGAAAACCATTTTAGTCTGTCTTCTGATAGGCTACGATGAATACGATTCCTTTTCAGTATAGTAGATAATCCTTGTATTTTTGTTAAAACTTCTTGTGTTTCACTATTTTATGTATATGGATTCTGCTTTCTGAATAAATATTATTATTATTATTATTATTTACCAGTACTCGCCGTGACATGTCCAGTCTCAATACTTTTTAGTCACACCTCGTATAAAACTATTAGTAATATTTAAATTAAACCGGTCGTTATTATGGCTCGAAGCAAAGCGAAAGCTGAAAATGTACACAAGCGAAAAAATATACTGAGATGCACCAACCAGCGCCTACCAAGACACATTTTTAGAAAAACACAGACGTTGTGGAATAGCCTAAATCATTTTCATCCAGACGATTCCCAATTGAATTGACATCGTTTTTCAAGGATATCGCCCTGTAAAGGCATTTCAAACAATTTTATTTTAAACTTCTTAAAGGTTATTTTTAATTTATTTTTTGTCAGTTTTTGAACAGAAATAAAGTAAAAGCATGCAACTTTTGAATAATAAAAGAAGTATATAAATGGTGTATGTACCTATAGTGTGTGAGTGTATTTTGCTCTTCGATTAAGATATAACTACAGAATTTCTTACGTCATAGAGTAAAAGAAAAAATTTCGTGTTAGGAGGTATAGATATAAAAATCCGCTTTAGTGTTATAAATTCGTTTATGCACTATTTTTTGGGACTAATAGGGCACTTTTACTTCTTGAAATCAAAAAGTTACTTTTAATCGATAGGGATTAAAAGTACAATATACTTGGCACTTTTACTCCCTATGGATTAAAAATTACTTTTTATCCCTAGGGATTAAAAGTACAATATACTTATACATCGTCATTGCTTTGTTATTAGAGTACTGTTAGGTAATTTTTCATAATTTTTTGTTTTTCTTATCCTAAACTGCATAAAATAGCGTATTTCTATCTCTCGACGAATTGTAGTACAAACTTTTCGCCTCGGGACAAAAAGTGGCTTTTTGGTCTCTTGGTGTATAATATACTATTATTGAATTTTCTTTCACAATTTTATTAATATCACCTTCAATATACATTGGTCATAGCAGCGCTGTTATCATTTTTAAAAAGCATGTTCATGGTCTCTTCCCTCTTTTTCCTTGAATGTCTGATTCCCTTTAGAGCTGATTTGACCTGAAGTAATTAAAAATCACATGAGGTGAGTGAGGTCCAGTGAATAGGTTGTATGTTTTAATACTTGGCCAAAAACCTCTTGATAGATAGTACAGTGTGAGCTGTAGTGTTGTCCTGCTGAATAAACGATGACTTTGTTTTGTTAAAATCTGCCTAACACTTTCTTTTTCGATTCCTATGGATTCAGCAACAGCCCAAATAGCTAACTAATTCGTCAGAGTCACTTATTGTCCCGCGTTGATCACTCAAAAATATGAAACACTCATCTCCACATCCTTTTAATAAAGCATACGTTTCTGTGAACGGATTTTTGGAGTTTCACAAAGAATTTTACTTTGAAGCGTGGCTCTCCTTGAACACATGCACATATTTCCGGCAGAGCATAGATGCAAAGTCCACTTCGATCATGGTTCAATGCTCAATTAAATGGAACGTAACTTTTACGTGTTCCACCGTTTGTCTCTGAAGTGCGATCAGTCCGGTTTTTTCAAGCCACACCTAGTATTAGGCATTTTTAAAATCGCAACTTTTTATACAAGGTCCAACTACATTAGGGCGTAATTGTTCAATATTTCAATTTGTGTTATAGACACGCAAACAAGTTTAAAATAAAAAATATACGAATTTAAAAAATACGTATTTTAAATATATTTTTGGATATAGAGGGTGTTGCGTTTTTGTTTGACAAGTAAAAATGTATATTTTTTAAATTTTATTTCAGTTTTAGAATGGTTTGGTATTCAACCCTAGAAATTTTCTTCAAAATATTCAAAATATTTCCAGGCAATTAATTTTTTTATGAAATTAGAGATCGATGCAGACCCAAAAATAAATTATCATAATTTAGGTAGGATTACATTGATTTTAAAATTGTTTAAAATACAGCCTCGTACGTGTTGGTTCATTTATAACAAACGTGCTCGCAAACGCCATCCCCACTCAATTTAGTAGGGCATCTAGCTCTTTCTAATGTGGCAATGAGGCGACAGCTGTACCTAACTAATATAAAACATGAACTGAATACTTGCAAGTAAACAAGTGCTTACTTATGAATGAAAGAATTAATCTAGTAGTTGATCGTAGTTGCTTTTTAGTAGCTTTTAGTTACTAAACTGGGGTGAATTCTTAAAGTCAACAAGTATCCAAAATATTTAAAGAGTAATGTCAAAAATAGATAAAAGTCCTTGAAAAGTTAAGGAAAAGGGTGATTTGCGTCAGACTGGACATTGCATACATTTGGATACTTCCACCATGACACTCTCACAGAGCCGTCAACCAATTTGATTCCCTAACCCTTTATTTGTCTAATCTCAGTCCGTATGACTATTTGTCACAATGATCAAGACCCACTTGTACAGTACTCATTCAAAAATTGTAAACCTTATTTTATGGGTAAACCTCATATTATACCTTTGAATTGATACGCAAGCACTGTAGATTTGGCTCAGAACTTGAAATTTACCTCTGCAGTTTTCCCAATTAATATTGATAAAAAGAGAGAACTATGGCAGGGGAGTTTCTGAAGTGGAACCACGTGTATCCTTTCTCTACTATCAATTCTGTTTTAAGTAGTGAGTGAAGTCTCAACGATCTACCGGCATTTTACGTTTTTTATTACATTCTCCTTATTAATACGATTTTTTAATAGTACTAAATGACGTAAACAACACTGCACTCGTAAGTTTAATCTGGTCCTGAAGAACGCATACTGCCAACGAAATATATTGTGAGTGTAAAGTTTGATGACAAGCAAATACATAATATTTACATATAAATATAAAAAAAATGAAAATAATTAAACGTCTTACCTCGTTAATTCCCTTCCGCTTATCAAGGCTGTCCTTGATCTCGACCTAACTAATTGTGCCCTCCTTTCAGCTGCAATAAAAATCCTTACTCAAAAAATGTCACATTTGAATAAAATATTATATAATAAAAATAGAACCCGACAATAAAAGTAGGTACAATTACTGATTGACAGTTTAGCACTATTTGCAGCCGACCAGTTGAAAACATAAAAGCAAAAATAAATTTTATAAAAATAAAATTATTGGAATTAAAGATATTTAATAATTTAATTTAATACCTAGTAATTTTCGTAGTAAAAACACAGAAGTAATAAAAACCTACCTAGTACTTCCACATTGCATTCTAAAGAAAAACGCAAGAATATTTAAACCCCATGGTAAATAAAAATTCAAATATTTTAGAAAACATGTTAATAGTTATGTATGTATCAAGGGCGTAAAACAGGCGTTTATGGACCGCAACGTGTAAGTAAGAGCCCGAGCCGCTAAGCGAGGGCTGTTAGCACGTAAGGTCCATAAACGCTGTTCCAGCCGGAAATCATCACAAAATTGAAGTGTAAAAAACGTACCTAGTACTTCCACAGTGCATTCTAAAAACCGACATATGAATATTTAAATCGCATAATTATAATAATAAAATGAAATGTACATATAAAAAAAAACTATCTTACCTCCTGCTGGTCGATGGCCTCTTCGTCTTTTCTGCTCTCGTCCAAACGCGCTACCCGTGGAAAGTGCTTCTAACAAACTGAAAATAAACAAATCATTAATATACAAAAAATCATAAACAAAAATCTTTAAAAATATAAAAAAAACATCAAAAATATATATTAAAAAATTAAAAACATCAAAAACATATATATTAAAGAAATGACAAATAACGGACGCGCTACCCATGAAAAGTGCTTCTATTTTAACAAATTGAAAACGAATACCGTTAATAAACACAAATCACAAAGAAATTAAATTAAAAATAGAAAAAATATTGACCAAGTATAACAACAGGTCCATAAAAAAGTATTAACAAACAAAAAATATAACGAAAAATATAAAAACTAAATATGAAGTATATTACAGTATTTAAAATAAAATATATTATTCATAAAAAGTTCTTCATCACGTAGAAATGAATAATCAAGAATCAAATTTGTAAAATATTTAGTGGTATACAGAGAAAAACATTTTTTTACTTTAAATTAATTATTAGAGCGTCATGAATCTAAACTTCCGACATCATTTTAATTCCTATCAACATTTTCAGATGATATTTTGTTCTGTAATTAAATTTAAAAGCACTTTGCTCTCCAGCATAAATCAATGTTTTTTTTATTTTTCTTGTATTACTACTAAATATTTTACAAATTTGATCATTATTAATTATTGATTTCTTAGTAATGCAGAACGTTTTAAGATTATTTTTATATATAAAACAATTCAGTTCGTCGTTTTCTGTATTAAGACGCTCAATAAATGCAAAATAATTTAAATTCATTAAATTATGGTCAAAATTTCTAACTAAAGCACAACTAGAAGCGAAAAATCCAAAATTCCAAAATATTAAGTAGTAATGACCAAAATGTGGTCAATAACATTCAAAATACGTCATTCTGCTTTATATTACAGAAAAACGTGTTTATTTTTCAAAATGCAATTTTAGGGCAAAACAATAACGTTTTTTTTTGTAATATTAATATTAAATACATTTCTCATCTGTTGTCAACTTTCTCAGATGTTTCAAAAAATTTATGATCGAGCTACCTGTGAAAAGTGCTTTTAATAAACTGAAAACGAATATCATTAATAAACACGGAATTACAAAAAACATGAAAAAATAAAATAAAAACAGAAACAAAAAATAAAAAATATTAAAAAAAAATCATAAAATATAATGATTATTTCCAATAAAACAATACAACTAACCTGTCCATGACACCTTCTTGCGTCTCAGTTGGATTCATATCTACCAGCCTTCGTTTGTTTCTCTCCTCCTTTTCTTTTTCCTGTTTCAATTTCGCTAACCTCGCTTTCTCCTTTTTCTCCTCGGCCTCCTTCTCTTTCTGATTGTCCGCCCTGGCTTGCTGCAATGAAAACGCGAAAATTTAAAAACGAAAGAAAAAATGGGCTCAGCATCAGCATCCAACATCTGGTAATTAATATGAGGCGATTAGAATCAAATTTCACATTAAGTTTTTTTTCTCAAATTTCTTCTCGGCAGGTGATAAGTTAAAGCGTTACTTACACAAAAACTGTCTTTGAACGTCTTCAAATCGGTGAAGAATTCTTCCAAGGTGTACTTTTGTTTATCGAAAGCGTAGTATTCGGCTAAATCGTTGTAAAGATTTTCGACTTTCTTCAACATATTCGCCATTATGTCGCACTGTTCCCGGGCTTCATCCGCGAATTTCTACAAACAAGTCAAATGTTATTTTAAGGTTTGACATTTTCATTTAATTAAAGAAAACTAACAAATGAAATACCAAGTGGATAGTGTTATAGAAAAAGCAAGGTCCATTTATCGATTTTTAAGATAAAATAAAACAATCCTGATAAATTATCCATAAAATGTAACTGGATTTATCTCAAGATAGTAAAACGAAGGTGGTTGTTTTTAGAATCGACCAAAATCCTTTTAAAATGAGAAAAACCAAACTTCTTCAGGTGAAGAAGTTTGGTCGAAACAATTGTCTGTAATTTTTAAATTTTATTTATTTAAATAAAATTGTGTGTGAAAATGTTTGGTTTTTCTCATTTTAATAATATGGATTTTCATCAAGTAAAGGACGAAACAATCAAGAATTCAAAATTCATTTACCTCCATCACTTCTATGAATTTGTCGTCGTCTCCTTGAGGTACCCTGTTGTTAGTCAAATCCGTTTTCAGATTTCGTATATTGCTGTCCATCTGTTTTAAAGTTTTTTGAATTGTGTCTAACGACACTCGACTAGCTCTGAAACAATAATAAAAGCTAAAGAAAAATCGACATTAAAGAAATCACTTAATGTATAGGGTTATAACTTAACTAGAATCTCAAACACTTCCTTTTTTCATTCAGAGATATTGTGTATCTGTTTTAATTGTGAAGAAACCCTATTACAATTCCGGATACATGCACAATATCATCAAAGCTCTGTCATTGAGAGTCTATGGGGTGGATACGCATATTTTATTGTCATGAGTTAGGTACTAGTTATTCCGAGTTTGATATTGGTCAAAAAGTGATCCGATTTTTGAAGAAAAACAAAACTGATTCCTATATAAAAATTGCATTAATAGTTACAGTACGACAAGATTTAGATGGGAAATTAGATGCGCACGGCCAAAATTCAAAATAGATAAATTTGGCAACACTGCACAAGTAAACACAAATAGATTACTGAAACAACAGTTTCGAATTTCATCCATTAACTGAGATAATTCCTCCCACTTTTAGATTTGGAAGTGCACATCTAATTCTGCGTGCCATCTCAATCTTGTCGTACTGTAATATTTTGTGCTACTTTAATTTTCTTCAACGAGAATATCTTACTTTCATTCCCAATATTATTCTAAATGCTCTTTTCTGACAAACAAATAGTTTTCTGATCGCAGTACAGCTCCCAAATAATATAATTATTCCATATCTAATATGATAAAGTAGTAGACCATTTTTAAAATTGAAAATTCCACATGTTTTAATACAGTTAATGAGTACGTTGATATAGACATTTTTTGATGCATATATTCAATATGTTGTCACCATGACAGGGTGCTGTCCAACATCATTCCCAGCAAAAATTGTTATTGAACGAACACCAATTTGGATTTTAAATTATTTCCATAATATTAACATATAGAATCAACAATATTGGTCCCAACACACTCCCCTGAGGAATTGCTGTCAGAAGTGACTTTATTGTTACGGTATTCAAGTCTTAATTTTTTGTTGTCTATTTGATAGGTAAGATTCAATCCACTTTAATATTGATCTTCTAATTCCATTACAATCCAATTTAATCCACAGTATGTCATAGTTTAGTTTATTGATAAGTCCAAAAATAAACCAAAAGGAAAGTCCTTATTTAAACGTTAACAATATTTCGCTTGTAAATTGAAAAACAGCCGTTAAGGTAGATTTATGTTTAAGATGTTAATATTATTAAATTGGTTAGTTGAATACATAAAGTCAATGGCGAATGAATCAATGATCTTTTCAAATATGTTGGAAAAAGAGAACATAGTTATATGCCTGTAATTCCCGATATTTGACTCATCGGACTTATAATGTAAACGAATGGAGCTATTATAACATCGACAAAACATTTTTGTGAGGCTCATTGATACTTCATGGTGTCCTGAACTATGTTTAAATTTTAGTTCGTCTACGCATGTTAAAGTTACTTTTAATGTGTGTTGAATAATTGTTTTTCAGAATATGGTATATTTAATGAATAAGGCTTTGGCAATAACTCTAAAGCTGCGTTTGCAAAAAAAAACTATTAAATTCCTTTGATTTTGTTAGGATATATCCTATATTAATTTCTTTTTTGTTTTAGTTTCTTTAATTTCTTTGACGATTGCCCACGCACTTTTAGATTTATTGTCAGAATTTTTAAGCCTAAGTAAACATGTTTTTGTATTATCTTGAAGTAGTCTATTGTACTAAACGACGAAAAACTACTGGACTAATTTTGTTTACAAAAATCGAATTGTCATCCATGTAGTTGTCAAATTATTGTGAGAGAATATGGGAGAGTTTTGGTATAATGATTGATTATGGTTATAATACGCTAGTTCAGTGATGATGTAATTATGGTTCCACTGACAATTAAAGTGACAGTAGATTTTTTGAGTGCGTTTTGTTCGTTTTGTTTACCTAAATTATATCGTTTTTTTCGCTTTTATAAATATATTCCTAAAGTAAGTAGATAGCATGTATCAAATATACAATCGTTTAGTTGCCAATTACATACCTTTAAACTATTTTTTATGACCTGTAAACAATATTTTGAAATAAAATAAAAACAGTAAAAACGTATATGTCAAATTTATTGATGTTTTTGTTAAAAGTTTGGTTAGAATTAAATGTCAGTGGAACCAAAATGACATCACACTAAACTAGCGCATTCGGTATGACGAAACATAATGCTCTAAAACGCACAAGTCTTTCAAAATTACATTATGGAAGCATAGCGATAGCGAAGATATTGTAGTTGCCACATATTCGCTGCGATAGCACAGCTATGCCTAATACAAAATAATAAGTACTGTATATAAAACTAGTTCTCTTTTGCATTTTTAATATCATTATTTGTATTTGAGCACATTTGTTTTTAGTTTTCTTTATTTCTTTTTATTATTAATAGAGAAATAATGATTAAATTTTTCGAATATTATAATTTTGAAATAATCTTATTGATGATTAACACCAGTTTTTGGTAAATTTGACGAATTTTTAAATATATTTTTTTACTAAAGTTTCTAAAAGTACTTTTTGTAACAATATGGTTATCTAATAAAATTTCAAAATTCTGCGAAGATTAAGGAATGTAAAACAGTTGCTTCAGAATCACCTTCAACATTAGTAACAATGTTGTCTATACAGATACTACTGGTACATGTTATTCTTGTAGGTGTTTGGTGCAGATCATAATACATCAAAAAATATATAACAGCTTTTGTTAATCAGAAAAATCCAAGCATTATCATTTGCAACAAAAAATAGATCTTCAAGCCTTTCTAGGAATAATGTTACATCGCCCCCTTGACAATCTATAGAATCAAATAATTATTATTTTATTTCCGTTATTTTTTGTTTCACAACTACAGCACTCAATAATATTTTCTATTGCATATGCATTAATATTACTTCTTTCTTTACACTGAAGCTTTCCGACGCATAAATTACAATTCCTCCGTGAGTTTTCCGCTTCTCTGCTGGAAACCCTTGATATTATAATTTTTTATTGATTACTTTTTTTCAATGTTTTGTGGCAGGATAGTTCATTATCTAGTAGAATTTCTGTTTCGTCTTTTCTGTTTCCAATAAATTGTAGGTGTTAAGTGTATGAATGAAGTTACATTTTTTGTACAGTTTTGGTTTTTTATTAATATTGACCAATGTTTTGATTTTAAAAATTTTGTTCATACATAATTTCGGTGTTTTTTAATACACTTCCATTATGTTGTAAACAAGAATTTTGTAAGACTTAAAATTCTTGTGTCAAACACAGAATTTCAAACCTTCTTCAAGACAACGATAACTTCTAGAGGACAGCCGACAAAAACGCAAAGAGGTAAATATAAGGAACCAGGAACTAGAAATTTCACCTCTTTTCACGGACTATTATAGATGCTGGACAATAAAAAAAATAGAAAATATGACTTACTGGTCTATGTGAGGTATTTCATCGTAAAAATTAAGCAATTCCGGCCATTTGGTTTCTATAGTTTCTGTGATATAATGAAGAAGGGTTTGCTTGTTCAAAATGTCCTTAGTCGCGGTTAACTGAAACGAAATTAAATAATTAATTACACATATATATTAACTCTTTATTTAGTCAAAAAAACTAATCGATAAAATACTGTCATAATTGGCATAAAGTAAAAATCTAAAGAATACACGAAAATTCTAAAAATAATAAATATTTTAACTAAATATTGAATCAAAAATCAATGCACTGAAATAGACCAATCAACTAGGTCAATGACTTTTACTGAACCAAAAAATTATTCAAGGTGATAATTCTTAAAAATATTAATTAACCTGTCACGTAGATTTTGATTTAAATAGAAATTTATTAGTCGAAAGAGGAAACAGGCTGTGCCCGAAACTCTGGCCGAAAAGCCGCTCTAGTAGTGACGTACCTTCGAGACCATATTTCATGAAGCCACTTATCTCTGCAAAGTAAAAGTTTGTGCTGCGAATTTGTGTATTAAAGATAAGCGTAAAATAATTTTTACATGTCCGTTTAAATCTTTTGTTAGGTTTTGTGTCTTAAGATGATTAATTATTTTCCATGTGAAAGCATTTTTTAAATTTTTTATCCCATCATATATGGTTTAATTTTTCTATACAATAATTATTAATAAATCCAAATATCATTTTTAGAAATATGAAAATGAATAATCCCAATGCGCCCCAAAGTGAAAACAAACCAAAGAAAAATTAGAGAAGCTGTAAATTAAAAATTAATGCATCGACCAGGGTCCCTGGTTCAGTTTAAAACCATTTATAATGTTCAATTACTGTATACCTATACCTATCGAGAAGCGTTTTAGATAATAGAAAAATTGAAACGATTTAAATATTGAGTAGATGGTTTATTAAAGTGCCTATGTACAAATAATACGGAATAACAATAAGACAAATTAAAATATTGTTGCAAAATAAATGAATATTGAATTAGAACTGAATAGAATGATTATTAAAATGAAGATTTACCATGCCATACAATCATGTACAGATTGTTACATGATAGACGCACCAATATAGATATGAATGACACAACATTTAACATTTTGTCTTCTATGCCCAAGGTCGACTACTTTTTACTACTTTTTCGGACATGCCCAAAAATTACTTTTTATTAAATGGCCCATCACTAATTAAAGGACCTAACACGCTTATATATAATAAAAAAAACTAACTGGAAATCATAAATATATACAAACCTTTGTGAGAAAAGACATTTCAAATCCAAAGCATTGCGCGTTTTTACTACCAGTATTCATGTAATTACCCATGAGTAATATAAGTTCCAAAATCCTTGCGAATTTTTTACTTTTCTTTACCTCTTCGCAAGCGGCAGTTGCCGCGACGATTTCCTACAAAAAAAAACTTAATATCATGAATTCCATTTTTTTGTTTCGAAAACTTACAGGTTTCGTATCTTGCACCATTTCTACGTAATGATGCTTAAAACTCAACGACTTTAATCTAGGTATCAGCCTTTTAACTTCGGACATCTTAACGCAAAATTGTTCGGCCTCGGTAAGATCTTTGTATGAATCTTTGAAATTTTGTAGTTTACTCAGTTGATCGGCGGGTGGTAAATACTAAAAAAGACAAAAATAAATGTTATTTAATCCCTAAAGTTAAACATTATTTAACTTTGTCCAGTATAAATGATATGATTAATCGAAAATAATTTAAACACCAGAAAAATGAATGTTCTTTAATCCTTATGGTCAAGTACTATCAACTTTATCTAATACAGGGTGTTCGATAAGTACGGTACTTCAGAAGCTTATTCTGGAGCTAAAATAAAGGCATTTTTGTCATATACACTATGTTTCAAAAATGCTTCGTTACGGAAATATAGGGTGTGAAAGTTACCTTGTCTGCATGCCACTGGTTAAACGAAATCCACTGTGTTTACAGTAAAATACGCAACGTTGCTAACTCTCAAAAGCTGCAAAAATTAAATTAAAATATCTCAAGTGGTTTTGGAAATATTTAAAAAATATTTTTTTTTATGAAACTTTCACACCCTGTATTTCCGTAACGAAGCATTTTTGAAACATAGTGTATATGACAAAAATACCTTTATTTTAGCTTCAGAATACGCTCCTGAAGTTATGTACCGTACTTATCGAACACCCTGTATAAACGGTACGATAAATCGATAAGTTAAAGTTAATGTTCTTTAATCAGTTATTTCGCTTAAAGCTAAGCATGCCCAATATAAATCGAAACATGTAAAACTTACTTGAATAAGTTGTTCTGTAATGTTTTCTGTTAAAATAGCTTCGTCACATCTCAGCAATGCTTTTCTTATGTCATCGTATGGCATATGTTTCAAAGAGCCTCCCAATAATATACTGATGTTCTGGGCGGTTTTGCCATCCAGAACTTTCAATTCCTTGACTTTCTTCATTGTACCGGTAGAGTGACTTCTATAAAGAAACAAGAAGTAAAGAAAGCAAATAAAGTTTTTTGGTTGCTAAAAACGTTGTTAAATACAGAGTGCCTCATTAAAAATAGGGTGTATTTGAAATACATGTACTTATTAAAACTGGTTAATATTTGTACTTTCCTGGAATCCCTAATAATATAATTTTTTTCAAGATACTTGCTAATAAAGGTTTTATTAAGTTTTAAAAATCGAGTTTAAGCAAGTTTGTAAAGCTAAAAAATCAAACAGACCTGCAGGCCAATTAGATTTTATAACTGGGTTCAAAAAAAATTTAGACGTCGGTCATACAAACCGGCGCTACGTCCAATAATACTAATTTCTATTATATGCCGCCAGTGAATGAACTTGTTCCTACACAATTAGAAAATGTGCATAAATTGTTACAAAACAATAAGTAAAACCAAATATAAATCCAAAAAGTTTATACATCCAATAACGTTTGCAATGATATAATAAAATATATAAATAATATATTTTAGGGTACGAAAGAAAGAAATATATATTTTTTTAATTTCTATGTGCGAGAAACATCCCTACGTAGGCCAGGCCGTTTAAACTGACAACTTTAATAATATTCGTTTCCTAGTCGGCTAATGCTAACTCTCTGTAGTTTTCACTTTGACATTAGCAAAGCATTGAATAGCCGACACTGTATAAGAAAACACTCGTTACATGACCGTCGGCGTAATTCGTGAATTTAAAATCAATGCCGGACGGCCGGCTTATATGACCGTCACGGTGCGAAATGGTTAGATTGAAATCGAATGAGATGATCTCATCGTGAGAAGATCGATTGTGGCTCATGGTCTAATTTATAGCCATTCCTTTTGATGAAGACCACTGTTGAGTTGGGTTGAAACTTGTTTAAAATCGGTAGGATCCAGTATACCTGTAAATTGGGTTTCGAGCAAATGTCCGTTCAAAAAATATAAATGGATTTTGTTAATTTTTAAATACACATTGATAGGATACACATTCGGGACTTCTTAATCTGTGGTGATAAGTATTAAATAAAAACCTTCCAGTGATAAATTAGAATTTATTTAGGGAAAAGTAAAAAAAACAACTAATTTACCTAACTTGTGCAGCCTAGAACCATAAGAAAAACTGTACAACTTTTTTAAATTTTATTCGTAATTTGACAAACAGCGTAACAAGTGGAATTCTTAATGATTTCCTACAGCAGGTATTTTCATGCGAAATAGAAAGGTTCAGCTAGTAAAGAACTAGGTACTTTCATGCGAAATAGAAAATTTTAACCAATAAAGAGCTGCTGGGACCGAATTTACCTATGTATAAAAGGACTTTAAATTTACATATTTGATCTATGACTTCGGACCCCAAATTCCTACACCGGGATCTAGTCGACCAAATCTGATTATTTCTTTCCCGAGCAGGACAAAGAATGTGATCTGCGGATTCATCTTTCTGCTTGGCTACCCGAAAATATTTTTAGTCTAGTTAGCATAAATAAGCAGGGCTGGTCAATATGACCGATAAGGAACTTAATAATGGACACTTTCGTGTTGAGGTAGGTTTAATATAAATAGACCATAGTTTAGATCAATGCCAACAGTTGAGTATGGATCTGGTTACAATTTAATTTTATATGTATCACATCCGCCATCGATGCTACCCTGTTAATGTAAAATGTTATCGGATAAATTCATATGTTGTTGTTGTTCGTTTTTAAATACAGTGAAACAAAGAATAATAGTCGGGAAAAAGGAATACATTTTTATAATTAAATTTGAGAATTTCAAGGTAAAAATAGTGACATTAATTTTTGTACATCATATACAACTACTACCTGTTTTAATATGTACATATATTTCAAAACACCATGTTTCAGATTCATTTTTGTGAGATGTTGAAATATACACTGATTAGCTCCAAATTACGAGTCTAACAAAATTTAGCGGGACTGCCGCTAATCAGTCTTAAATAAAACGATCTGCATTCCTGATATGCTCTCAACAGAAACGCCGTTTATTATAAAAATGTATTAGAGTCGTACAAAAATGTAGGAAGCGTTATTTAATATGGTTTTTATTATTAGTATTCGTGTATGGATTAGTAATAGGTTAATTAAAACAAAATCTATAAAATACAATTTTTTTTAGAGTCCAAATCTGATATACAGTGGGCCAAATTAACATACACACTTTTTAACTATTAATAACTTTTACCTGTTAAATCTATTTAATTAGTATTTGGAGGACAGGTGAACTGGTATATTCTTTCCAAGATGTCCAATTTTGGTTGAACATTTTAGAAAGACAACATATAGCACTTTTTCTAAAATGCTGCATTTAACCTCGTTATAAATAAATCAGATTTACCAAAATTGAGTAGATAAACTATCGGACATTCTTTAGTAAAAACGAAATTGCCAACGAATTTGGCATTGAAGAATAATGATTATTTTTGTAAAATGATGTTCAACCAAAATTGGAGATTCCAGAAAGAATAAACTTCGTCACGTACCCTCCAAATAAATTAAATAGGATAATTAAATAGGAGCAACAAGTAAAACGTTATTAATTGTTAAAAAGTGATAAGTTTAATTTGGCTCGCAGTGTATAATTCCTGATGTATTACCAAAATCTAAAAACTAAAAACACATCACTTTTCTGTTACTGATTATGTTGTAAAACAGGACAAAAAAAATGCACAACTCTGTTAAATACGTAAATAAATAAATACCAGCATGGCAACATAGCAAGTACAACACCGAAATATATGGAATTACCTGACAGCTGACAGTGTTTTAGGATGAATAGCGACAGTAAAGCCTTGTTATGTCTGCGATTTCCCTTCATCTAAACATTATATTTTAATATAAAGAAAACGCAAAATTAAAAAATTCAAACGAATCGACAAGTATTTGAATACTTACTTATCAGTAACGTCTTCCATCTTTTTAGCGGGTTTCGAGGAGAACTTTGTAGCTAAACCATCTAGGATGTCAGGTTCGGCCATTTCCTCTTCTTTTGCTTGCAACCAGAACGCCTTTTCTGACATTTTTTGTGGCATAATCTGAAATAATTACGTTTTTTTATAAACGGAACAGGATCAAATATATGTGGATATAACTGTTTAAATATGTACATTTGTCCACATTTTAAATACACACGAACCATTCCTGTTACATACCAAGAATTTAAAACGTTGTTAACTACTATTAGGACCATCTTTTAAAAATGCATATCATCTCTTTATTAACACAATGCCTCTCCTCAGGCGTTGCAACTAAGTAATGTACACGGTAACAAGGTCTGGAAAATTAAATATGAAATTCAAGCGTTGGTATAGCTATCATCGTGAAGTATATGAAGCGGAAGGATTATTGGTTATTAGGTAATACAACACTCCATTAGAACTTGAAGCTGGATTTCTTTTTTCACATCGTAAGTATCATGTAATAAAACAAATCTCAAATTAAATATATAAAATTCAAATTGTACATTTCAAATATTGTAACACTAATAATTAATTTGTAACGTTTCATTGTCCATTTTAGAGCAAATAAAATTTGTTATGTGTTTTTAAATCAGCGTGTTTCAATATTTGCTGATTTTGTATGAAGGCAAGAAAACATAAGATACCGAGAGAAATATTTTCATGGCTAAAAACAGATTGGACAGGTCTGTTTCAAGAAATGAATAAAATTAAATCAATTATGTAGTTTTAACAATAAAAAATTAAGAACTTTTAAAATTAATCTTACAGCGAAAAAATAAAGACTCAAGCACCTGAGGTAATGCAAAAAAAAATCTGTTAACCTGACAATGAAAGAAAACGATATTAACATTGCTAAAAACATTAAATAGGTCGATTTTAGGAACTGAACGGAATTGGATCAAATATAAACTTAAAACTTATATAACTAATATTACATCAGAAAATAAAGGATGGTGAACTTAAAGAAATAGTAAGGAATGACATTTGTTAACCTGTAAAGTTCGGAAGTTCGGTAGTAGACAAAAATGTAATCATTAATACTGTTACAGGATAAGAAACAACGAGAAGAAGATAAATGACTCACCATTTTCCAGTTGGCCCTTTTCAACGGCCCCTTCACCTCCCATTTCTTCTTGGGTTTCAAACCATGCGGCAACAGGTCCGGCCTGGCCAATCCGACCAGGGGTACCATCCCCGGCGGCGGTGGGGGTCCCATACCCATCATGGGCGGAGGAGGCGGGCCGCCGCCCATACCAGGCGGCGGCGGGGGTGGTGGTGGACCGCCGCCCATACCGGGAGGCGGAGGAGGGGGCGGTGGGCCGAAACCGCCCGGCATCGGAGGAGGTGGGGGAGCGCCGGGCATTGGGGGTGGTGGTGGAGCGCCGAATCCGGGCATAGGAGGCGGTGGCGGCGCACCCGATTGCGGCGGAACGTTGATTTTATTAACGAGCGCCGGGTCTAGTTTACCGGATGATTCAAGAGATCCGGAGCGACCCATGGCAAGTTCCAGCTTGGCTTCGGCTTCGGATTTGGCCGCCAACGCGTCTTCAAGTTGTTTCTTTAAATTTTCCTTTTCGGCGTTGTCTATCTGTATTGGTTTATCTGCAAAATATACATTATCGATTAAAATTTAACGTTTTTTAAATAATAAGTGGGAGTATTTCAGCGTTCGCCAGATGACGATGCTTTAAGACGTCTGACAAGCTGTCAAAAAGCGTTATGATCAAATTTAGTCTGATATGCAACACAAAATTTCAACCTACAAACATAAAATTTCAACATTTGACATTTTATGTATGGAAGAGGACACGGAATCGGCAGTTAAAAAATAGAAAAGGAAGCTAGTTGCTGTATGTTTTGTTAAGAAGTAGGACAATCAAGCTTAATATAGGCTATCCGGACCACATCACATTGAGGACAATCTTATTAGATACAAAAATGTAGTGCGTGAGGAAAGATAAAATTATTTTGATTATAGTGTCAAAGGTCAATAGATAGAAAATAAAGTTTTAATCAAAAAGATCCTGTAACTTATTTAAGTATGTATTTAAAAAAATAAAGGTGTTGCAATCAATAATTTAATTTTTTTAATGTTAAAATATTATGTATATAGCAACATACGAAATTTTGTAAACTAACATATTAATTTATTTGAAAGGCATTCAGGCAATGTGAACCTAGTTAAAAAAGAAGATTTAAAAAAATGTGATTGTGATTTATGGGATATAGTAGTCGTTGAACTAATATAGTAAGAATATGTCTTAGAATTGTGTAGAATCCAATAATATGTCCAAAAGTTGTAAAAACCATTACAGGACTTAGCTATAGTTCTTAGTCATCTAAGATCTAAAAGTAGAGCCAACAAATAAAAATCACTAGATATATTACCAGTTCCGAAGAAAAACTTCAGATATCAACTATAAAGTAGTAAAAGTGGCAAGCCAAAGAAAATTTTCGTTGATCTAGAAGTTAAAAAAAAGGCAAGATACAAAAAATAATGCGCTAAATTAACCAAATTACTTCACCTTCTTTTTTAATTAAATTTTCATTTTTCTGATTTATGACCTCTTGATCTACAACCGTCATGATTATTTTTAACTTTTTAACACAACCAAAATTAAAATAACTTTTCAAATATACAAAGTTATCTTCACATTAACACTAACAACTTTCTCTTTTTTTTTGTTAAAACGAAAATTTTTGAAAAATACACCATTTCTACTTTTTTCTCCGAACTTACTATTGTTAATGTTCAAGTGAAAATTATTAGGAAACTATTCAAGTACCTATAATTTTAATTCATAAAAAAGATAACGATTTAATTTTGTTATCGTAATATTAGAGCACAAACAAAAATTCCTATCTATCACAATTTGATCAGAAATAGATAGGAGTATATTATATATCTTTTTTTTAATAATACGAAATTAATGATCAAATAATAACTCAAAACAATGGATAATATGTATTGCGAGTGCAGATAATATGTATTGCGAATGTATGTGTGTGTACGTGAGAAAAAAATATAGATGGATAAAAATTACCTTTGAGTTCGTCCAACAGGGGCTGCAGATCAATGTCTATATGATTTTTCTTGAAATCGGGATCCAAACCGGACTTGTGAAGTACTATTTGCGTGATTACTTCTTCGATCAATTTAAAATATGCAGGCCTGCAAAAAATATCGGGTATTTACCAACAATCGTCAGCGAATAGAGAAAAATGGAAACCGAAATTTTGATAATGGGCATTGAAAAATATAAAAAATACAATAGATCCGTGCGAACAATTTTGACATTTAGACTGTTTCGTCCTTGTTAAAACATCATGAGGCAACAACATGCTCGTACAGCTGTTAAATAAGTTGTGAGGATGTGGCAATTGTATTCACCTTTTAAAAGGAGCTTACCTTAAATTTATGTCATCCTTGATGAATAACAGGTGTTGTAAAATACTTAAGAAGTACGGCTCGGATGGCGTATCCAGCGTGACGTTTTTCAGGACCTCGAAGCAGTCCTGCATGTCGTCCATGTCCAGACGAACTTTGTCAAATCGTTCGTGTAATTCGTCAGCGTCATCTTCCCGTCGCGATTCGAAAATTTCAAATTGCGTTTTGAGCTCTGGATTCGTCTCGTTCCTAAGTTGTTCTGTAGATAGGTAAAATATTACGTAAAATGATAAATTATTTGTAAAATAAATATAAATACTTTGTAATATAAATACTTTTTAATAGAAATACTTTGTAATAGAAATACTTTGTAATATAAATACTTTGTAATATAAATACTTTGTAATGGAAATATTTTGTAATAGAAATATTTTGTAAGACAAATACTTAGTAATGGAAATTATTTGTAATTGAAATACTTTGTAATGGAAATAATTTGTAATGGAAATACTTTGTAATAGAAATAGTATATAATAGAAATACTTTGTAAGAGAAACACTTTGTAAAATACTATGTAAAATACTATGTAAAATACTTACGCAATTTTTCATAGAGTCCATTCCTTACGATTTCGTTCCTTAGGTGCATCCGAAATTCGTAATCTTCTGTCTCGCTGAGCAGCGCATTGATAAATTGGAAACACATACTCTACAAACAAATATTAGTTACTATATAATAGAAATAAGAGGAAAAACTAGTGAAACAAACAGTTTAAAAATACATATACGATATAAGTACGAAATTATTTTTTAAATAGGTTTGTATTAGAACTTAGTAAATGATATATGTTTTATATGATTTATACAATTAATTTTTAATTTAATTAATAACATTTATTCGCTTTTTTTTTAAATATGTATATACATGGTAAATATAAAATAACACACAGGATGTGCTTATGTCGGCCGTAGTTTCCTGCAGGGGCCATGGCATGATTTAAACAAGATGGTCAACAAAGTTTCATATATTTTAGAAACGGTAAAAGTTGATCAGAAGGTACTAAGGTAATAATAAAAAATAATGTAACGAAGAGGTAATAAGAAGGTAACAAGGTAATAAGAAGGAAATAAAAGGGTAATAACAGGGTAAGAAGACGTTAATAAGAAGGAAATAAAAGGGTAATAACAGGGTAAGAAGACGTTAATAAGAATGTAATAAGACAGGAACAAGTTAAAACTGATATGATTTGACAAAGAGAAGACTAACAAAATCACGAACAATATATTGAAGTTAGGAACGCTAGTTTCAGACAGAGGTATCAACTTTCAAATATTAAATGAGAGGAACAGCTTAATAAGGCATTCAGTGTCCAATCTGAAACATCGAAGTTTTTTCAACCGTTTTTCTATTCAAAATTGTTAATAGTTAATGTTTTCAATTAGAGATTCCAAACAAAATGACTGTGTGGGAAGGGTTGGTATATCTAAGGGGTTAAAACATACGATTTATTCTACCTACAACACGTGAAATCATGAATAATGGATTAAATTTAAATATTTTATGTCACAACAATGAAAAAACTGCTTATGCATTTTTCATAAATTGACAGGCTTGGCATTTACTATTTTTTCGAATAAAAATTGCGTCCAAGATAACTCCGTTAGATATACGAACCCTTCCCACGCCAGCTATTATTTGACAGTTGAAAATAAAAAAGTCCTTCCTCCCCTTTTTCAGTCCATCCATATTTTTAACAATTTTATATCGATTGTATGTGACAACATTCGCCTTTATTTTATGTATACTTCTAAATAAAGTTTTCCTATATAATCGTTAAAATAAACATAACATAACATAACTAGCTCTAAAACAAAACATTCTAGTATACTTAGAATATTTTGTCACTCTTGTGTTTCTAATATTAAAATAATTCGTTGGATACTTTCCTTTTATTTACTAGTTTATTAATATCTAAAATAAGTAAAAATGAGTGAAGTCAAAACATCGAATAAAAATAAAATTAGAGGTTAGATCAATTTACAAAAATTTTATTCATTTAAATGTATATACCACTCTGGAATGTTTACATTTAAAATAATTCAATACGTATATGTCAAAATCAATGACAGAATGGTTTGTTTTTGTTTGGTACACAAATTATGTAACACTATTAATGTGGCATATTACAAAACATTGCAGAATTACGAGTATTATTGAACAACCCAAAAATTCAAGCCATTTTTAGGAGGATGTTTTTATTTAATCAACTCCATAAAAATTGTATTTCTATCTTTCAACTGTATAATCAACTGCCTACCTAAATGTCACTAATAACAATTTAGATAAATTGTAATAAAGATTACATGTTTCTGACCAATAAAAATATAACATTTGTTGTTGTTTTTTAAATAGTATTACTAATTTTTTATTAAATGATGGGAACCTTACCGCTATTTTAAATCTGAAAAATTTCATTACACCACTACCACCAGAAACAGGTTAGAAAGTCCATCATAAAAGATGAAATAACAATCAAAATTAAATTTTGGATTGTTTGTAAACATATCAACCAGTAGGTACTAAACCCTAATCTCCTATTGTTGTTGATTAGACAACGTTCAGACGTTGGTTAGATACAAAATAATAATTATTGTCTGCTTCAGACCTTTTTATGTAGTTTTTGACCAGAGTTAACTCAATAACTACTTAATAAAAATAAATAAAATTTTGGGATAATAAATTAAACTTTATCTAGGGATTGAACTTAACATCTGCAGACAGTGCCATAATTATTTTGGATTCTAAGAACTACGATGAACCTGAGAATAAACAGCATAAAATTTTCTTGTCTACCAAATACTCAGCCTCACGAATATTAGGTAAATATTTCTAAAAAAATTAATTAAAATAGCGAAAAATACATAGGATTAACTCAAAATTAAACAAACTAGTAAAGAACTTGACACAGTACAACCTTAAAAGAACCAAATTAGTTGATAGCGGGAAATTAACTTGAATCTGCTAGCATGTACTGCAAGCATTCTATGAGTATTAAAGAAAAGCCTTTTTTTCTTAATTTAAATTAGATTATAAATATCATATTATCATAAAATATTTATTTCATAGTTATTTCAATTCGATTTAAACCAAATTATGTTATGCTTAATTTCTATACGTTTAAATGGACTATTTAAATTGTCCACATTATGTCATATATTTTTTGTATCGCGGCTTAGTATTATAAAAATGTTATTAAGTTTGAAGTTAGATATAATAGAAGTATTACATGTTTTTTTATATATATATTTCCTCACCTAAGGTGAGTTAAAATTGTAAATAATATTATTTTATTCAAAAAACAGTGAATTTCCCCGAGAAGTCGAACACAATCATGAATCACAACACGTACTTAATAAATAAACTTTTCTGATTATTTACCCCACATTTTAATAACTTCTCTTTCTTCCACTTGGAAAGTTTATTCTTAAAATCAAATTTTTGATTGTTCCAATTCCCGATCAAATTTGCATTACTATCACACGTTTTTCCTAACACATTCGTACAAAAATTATACGCATCAAACACATTTTTAAAATATTTCCTCATACTGCATTTTTATCTAAAATTTATACACACACTTTAAACACTGAATCCAACATTTTACAATTATTTTGCGAGACACAAAATATTCTTATCGTTGTATTGGAAAAAAACTAATTGCAAAAACAGAGTAAAATACAGAGTGGCACTACTATCGTTTTATTTGGTTTATTAAATACGTAGTCTTAATGAGATGTACAAAGTTATAAGAATATTTATAAAGAAATAAAAAAATAATTGCAGGGAAGCCAATCTGAAGATTTAATTTGATGAGGAAAATATAAAAATTATGAGATAATAAAGAAGTAAGTTACTTTTGTCAGTAACACCAAAACAATGCAACTGGCGTATTTGATAAAATGGTCAATTTAAGTTGTCATAAAAGTGACATTTCTATTCAATTTCTTGTTTTACAGAACACGTGGGATACGGGTATTGTTGAAAGCTGTTTTATGTTAGTTAAAAATTTAATAAAATATGATGGTAAATACGGCATTAAACTACTGGAGAATGCAGATGAAGATTTAAGAACATTTTGAGATACTATTTAAAAATATAGAAAGGAAGATACAAGCACCGTGAAGATTTGTCCAAAAGGGTTCATGTGTACAAAGGGTGTATAAAGAATGACTAAATAACCATTAACATAGAAGAGAAAGTGTTCTCTGAACATAGATGACAGGATAAAAAATACACAGGAAGATTTAATCGTGCTATGAATTCGCGGTGAGAATAATTATCCCCGTGAGTGACCTTGAATGTCTCTCTACACTCATTGTCGTTTTGACACGCTTGTAGAAGATAAATAAATATGCTTGGTAATTTTCCACAAATTGAAGTAATAGTTGGTCTAGGAAGCACTCATATTTAAAACACATATTATTTATTACTATGAACCTCGGTCAATGATGTCTACAGATGGTTCAATGTGAATAGGGTTCGCACTTCTCTGTCACGAACTCTTTGAAGCAGGTACAAAAAACCGACTCGAGTCGGGGAACAAGACATGAACAGGTATGAAATACGTGAATACGAACAAAACTCATCTACACTCGCTTTCACAGTTCTTCACGGGCTTTCCTGACGTGAGTCTGGAACTGGATTATGAATATTTGGAGATTGTACTAAAAAAAATAAATATAGAAAGGAAACTACGTGAAGATTTATCCAAGTGTTCAACGTGTACAAAGAGTTTATAAAGAATGACTAAATAACCATCAACCTAGAGGAATATTTTTTAAGCCGACTTCAGAATCCTAGTTTAACCTACTCTTTATATTTTTAATTTTAAACGTGATATATGGGTGTTCTGTGGATATTCGTTTTATGAGAAATGGCTTCATCTAATGGTATATATTTACTTATTCGAAAAAACGACCACCTTGTATAACGAAAAGTGGACACTTAGAAAAATAGAAAAAAAGTTATTTAAAATAAAATCTACAATAATTATTGATGCCTGTAATACATTAAAACATTGATACCGGACCAATTACGGATTATTTTTATAAACTTGAAATAATAAATAACAAATAAAATAATTGTTGCAGGAAACTATTTATATCATTATTATACATACAGGGTGATTCATAAGGAATGGGTAATAATTTACCTCCAGGTTTTATATCGGAAAATATTAATTTTTGTTTAATAAATGATTACATGGTGTGAAAGTTATAAAATTAATTCAGTAATGTTATATTTCAGCTATACTTTCACACGTAGGCATAAAAGTCGATAAAATTAGGTTTGTTGAGTCGAATATTAAGCTATCATTTTTGGAGTATATTAAGGAGGTCGCTACGTAAGCTATCTTATTTGACACCCAGTATTAAATATATTGCTCTGAAGTGTATGGGATCTTACTTGTCCGGAAGGGAACACTTCTTGGGCTGTTACTGTTTTTAATTTTTGTAAATCATCTAGCATGTCTTGATATTTTAGCCGACTTCAAATTATTTGCTGACGATACAACACTTTTGTGGCATTATAAAGATTCAAGCAAACTCTCCGAGATGGTATTTCGTGACTTTTTAAAAGTTAATGAGTGGTGTGAGGCCAATTTTTTAACACTGAAGAGCAGTAAAACGAAACTGTTAACTTTTAAA